TACCAGGGGATATTATTTTTATAGTCCTCTTGATAGGAAAGTTTTTGTTAGCACAAATGCCACTTTCCTAGAGGATAAATATATTAATGAATGTCAATCCAAAAGCAAGGTCATGTTGGAAGAAATGTGTGGGAGAAATTCTACCCCATCGATTTTTGAAACACAATCTCGGGACAGACAACCCTTGGTGTCAAATATAACTAAACAATGTATTTTGAGTGGGAGAGATGAGTCATCCAATCCCATGGATCAAGTAAATGTTGAAGGTATTGAGAAGGTAATGGAACCTCCTAATAGTGATACAACATTGATACAAATGTTACAATTCTAATTAGGGACGGAGCTAGGAATTAACGTTGCAGAGGGCAAATTTTTTTAAAAAGTTAACATAGTAATTAGATTAATATGTAATAGAAAAATGTAATATAAAATTATCTATTAAAGTTGTCCAAGAGATTTTATAGATACAATTCATCTAGAATAAAATCTACATCTAATGTGACAGTAAATTCTCATTCAATGTAGAATATCATACAATCACCAAGAAAATCATCACCCATTTTGTTAAAAATTGCCATCTTCCCATGATTTATTTTCTTCCATTTTTTAAAATGCATAAAAAACCAATATGATTGAATATCCCTACAATCCAAAACTTTCATATCATTCCCCATTTTTACTTATCTTCTTTAACGAGGGTTACGTTCTCACATTCTTTACAGAATTCGAAGACAAATGCTGATGAATTAGTGGGATGAATTCTAAAAGGCAAATATTATAAAGAAAAGAAATAAAATTGAAAGAATGAATAGGAAAAAGGATAATCATTTAGTTATCAAAATTGTAAAATGAGTATATTCTAGGTTAGCGGTCAAAAATCAAATTTGGAATGAATGGACTGAACTTGTTACAATTGTGTTGTTACCTATTGGTGGGTTATAAAAATTGTGTTGTTTATTGTTGATCGGCTCTGAGTTATTTTCTTCTCAATTTTTTCACAATTTGCCAATTATTTATGGATATGGGCTTGGATAGCACTGGGTTGTACAATTGGGTTGTTGCCTGTTGGTTTGTTATGAAAATTGTGTTGTTTATTGTTGGTGAGCTAAGAGTTATTTTCTTCTCCATTTCTTCACAATTTGCCAATTATTTATGGATATGGGCTTGGACAGCACTGGGCTACATCCGTCCCAAATTCCAAATGATGCCACAGTCCAGGATCCACCGCCCCTTAGACAAAGTCAGAGGGTAATCAAACCACCTTCTAGATAGTTGTTAGTTGAAGAGTCCAATTAGGCAATCTTCACAACACAAGTTGATGACCCGACTTCATGTAAGGAGGCCATGAATGATGTTGATGCAAATTTATGGCAACAAACTATGAGTACTGAAATGGACTCTATGCATTCCAATCAAGTCTGAGAACTTGTAGATCCACCAGAACGGATGAAAGCCATCTGGCAACCAGTTGTGTTACATTGCGACAATCAAGCTGCCTTACATATTGCAGCCAACTCGGTGTTTCATGAACGCACAAAACACATTGAATTGGACTGTCATCTTGTATGAGATAAAATTCAAGAAGGCTCTATCATCACTAAACATGTTAGAACACAATTTCAACTTGCAGACTTGCTTACCAAAGCTTTACCTTCCTCTCTTCTCTTTGCTCATATGTCCAAGATGGGAATAGTTAACATCTATTCTCCATCTTGCGGGGGGCTCTTGTAGAATAATAAATCCATCAAGCCCAACAGATACACAGCATCAGTAACAAATCTGTCATGTGGTCCATTTTCACCAGCAGCTGCCCATCTAAGCCCAGATATGCAGAAGACAATTTTTGATACACAAGACTAGCTATCTACTGCAATTATAACAGAATAGTGTGATGTGTAATTTTTTCTTTTGCTGCATGTATAGAGTTGGTTAGGTTGGAATATTCTTTTTGTCTCCTCTATGTGTATATAACGTAAGGTGTGTATAATTAATTTTTCAGCAAGTTGATAAATATAGAATGAGAATTTCTCTTCAATCATTTCTGTTCATTTCCTGATTCTGTGTTTTACATTTCATCATTTTCCAAAATTTACATATATGTATGATAATTAAATATTTGATTTTATTTTATTAAACTTTGAAGCTACAGTATCCATATTTTCAATGATATGCAAAATCAAGGATAAAAGAAACATAAGGTTTATTTATTACTGAATTAATGTATATTATATAAATCTCGCACAAGCAATTTTTCTGGAATTGTATATTATGTAAATGCCATCGAAAGCTATTTTCTAGAATTGTAAGGAAACACGAAATTATAAGGAGAAGTCCATAAAAATATAACTTGCTGCTAGTGCCTCAAAATTTGAAGTTCAGCGATAATTTTACGTATGTTCATTTCATAACTTCTGCACATCGTAATTCATGTGATGAAATCATACAAATGGTCATTTTATTTTACATCATAGCCAACAAATATGAAATTGATTTGACAAATAAAATATATTTCAAATTCCACATGCAGATGGATTCATAACATAAAGGAATAAATTTTAGACATGTTACACTGAATTTAATTTATTATCTTTATTAGATCTAGTTACAATAGCAACACTTAATCATTCACTAACCAAGGACCCCTTCTAACTTGAGAAAAGAAGTGAGTATACGAGAATACTCAATAGGACACGAGTATTACATAGTCCCAAATAAAAATATAAACTCTTGCATCAAAATAATAATAACGTATATCGTATCTTTAAAAATCTGATAAAAGCTTACATCATATCATATCGCGTAAATTCATCGGCATAATCTTTATTAACAAGAAGTAATAAAATTAAATGGAACAAATCACTTGCACCTCAAAATCCGACCTTGATTGATAAAAAGAGGTTTTTTTTTTTTTTTAAATATAAGAAAGGCAATAGTTTTACGATTTAAGAGGGTTTTTGAGCCCCAATTTTATGAAAAGTGTATTTTATAATAGTAGATTAATGGAAAATGTGTAGTTGAAAAATATGAAAAAGATTTTTATTTACTTGTAATATTATTTTAATGAATAATGCATGATTGAAAAGAAGAGAGAGAAAAATATATTTTGAGAGAATAAATATCAAACAAGATGTAAGACTTTTCTCCGATATAGTGCGTGTATATCCAACTTTTATTCCGAACTTGAAATATTTATTTATCTACATAATGAACCCAAAAATTGTATATTAATTCTAGCTCTATCTTTTCAATTGATTTGTCAATCTTTGAGATCGAAATGTTCCGAATGTTCCTGGAAATTCTTGCTCCCAACTAGTACATTCCAAAATCACCGTTACTCATGCATCTTTCCCCCTAGCCATGATGGAACGATATTGGATCAAATGACAAAGGAGGGGACTTTCTCTCCCTAGTCAAGGCATTCAGTCTTTCCAAGCTCAAAATTTTGTAGTATAGTCTAGGTAGAAAGACAACGCGTTAGCTGTAATGCCCTCGACTGATTCTAAGGTTCAGGAAAGGACGCTTTTAACATCAACTTTTGAAGTTACGAGCTGGAGGAAGTCTTCTTTTATTAAAGGTTGAACCCCAACCTTGAGGGCCCTCATCGTCCCGCCTCTAGAGTTTTGTGAGGGAGGTAAATCGCGGGATGTACTCCAGCAGGCCAGGGAACAAGAGCTGTTTGTACACTGCACCTACAAGGAGTCCAATTCAATGTCTCAGGAATCGAACCCCCACACTTTAGCTGTCAGCAAGATTTGAGATAACCTCACTCCTATCGTTTGCACCACTGGGCTATGCCCGGGGGGCAAGTCTTCTTTTATTTCTCAACACTGAAGTAAGGAATTCATGGGCTATTTGTCCCCCAAGTCACACCTATGAAGGCCTTACGTGGGCATAGCTTCACCGCTGGCCCCTTTTGGTCCCCAACCACCCTACATGTACAGGCTTATTTTTGCTAGATATTTTATAGGGACTCACATTGTTGGGGCCAGCGTTAATTTTTTATACATGTGGGGCCCTCGCTACAGTGAGGGCCCCTGTATAAACCCCGTAGAAAAAGCCCTGTACAATGGGCTTTTTCCTTTGGTCCCAAATCTTTGGGGTTGATTTTATATATATAGCATTGAAAACAGTTAATTCTTCACACACAAGACAACCTGGTTTCCAGCAAAAAAATGTGTTTTCTTCTCCTAGCCATTCTCTCTCTCGTGCTACTCCCTTACATTCTTACTAAGCAAAATAGTAGAAAAACCATACGTCCTCCTGGTCCTTTAGGGCTTCCTTTCATTGGAAATATGCACCAGTTTGATAAAGCCAAGCCTCACCTGTACTTATGGAAACTTTCCCAAAAGTATGGGCCGTTGGTCTATTTAAAATATGGTTCAATGCCAATACTTGTGGTTTCTACTGCAAAAATGGCTAAGGAATTTCTTCAAAACCAAGATTTCGTTTACTGTAGTAGGCCACAAGTTCTTGGACAGCAAAAGCTTTCCTATAATGGCATGGATATTGCTTTCTCACCTTACAATGAGCACTGGAAGGAGATGAGAAAAATATGCGTCCACCATCTCTTTAGCCACAAGCAAGTTTTGTCATTTCGCCCCATTCGTGAAGATGAAGTTTCCCACATGGTAAAAAGGATTTCAAAGCTTGCTTTTTCGTCAGAACTCGTAAACTTAAGCAAGATAGCGATGTCTCTAGCTAGCAACTTGATCTGTAGAGTTGCGTTTGGAAGGAGATATGATGGCGAAGAATTTGAAAAGAAAAGGTTTGATAGACTTGTAATGGAAGCTCAAGCCCTGATGGTGGGATTCTATTTCTCTGATTACTTTCCTTCATTAGGTTGGCTTGATAAATTCACAAAAATATCAGATCGACTTGAGAATAATTTCAAGGAGTTAGATTTGTTCTACCAAGAACTCATCGACGAGCACCTCAATCCATCAAGGCCTAAAGAAAATGACATTCTTGATCTCTTGCTCAAATTGAAAGACCAAAACTCATCTTCAGTCAATCTAACTTGGGATCACATCAAAGCCCTACTCATGGTAATCACTTTCTTTATTGTAGAAATTCATAATACAATTTTATAGCTACTACATATACCCCACGGGATATGAGTGGAGGATGAATTAAAGGAGTGACGACTAGTAGTTCAAAGTTATTCTTCAAAAAATATTTATCTCATGAAATATATCGTGTCTTTGTTCTTCTGTAGGATCTATTTGTTGCAGGAACAGATACAGTGGCTGCTGCTTTGGTCTGGACTATGACAGCTTTAATGATGAGACCTTGTATAATGAAAGAAGCACAAACAGAAATCAGGAATGTAATTGGAGAAAAAGGAACAGTAAGTGAAGAAGATATAAAGAAGCTTCCATATCTAAAAGCAGTTATTATGGAGACTCTGAGGCTGTATCCACCAGCTCCACTCATATTTCGACAGGACACAACTGGAGGATATTTCCGTACGATTGATGGCTACAAAATTCAACCAGGAACTCGGATTTTTATAAACGGTTGGGCCATTTCAAGAGATGCTGAAACATGGCAAAATCCAGATACTTTTGCGCCTGAAAGATTCATTAACAGTAATAAAGTGGCAGATTTTGCGATGATTCCATTCGGAGGAGGCCGTAGGGGGTGTCCTGGAATGTCAATGGGGCTAATAGCATTGGAGCTTGCACTTGCAAATCTTTTGTATACCTTTGATTGGGAAATGCCTTACGGGATGAAGATGGAAGATATTGACACTGATGCCATACCAGGACTCACAATGCACAAGAAAAACGCACTTCTTCTTCTGCCCAAAAAGTACGTTTAGATAACGTACGTGGATTTTAAGGCTTATATCATGTGGTCATGAGGCTATTATTTTACTTACCTTTGTGTATCCTTTGAAAATTTGTCGAATTTGCAAGGACATGGTTAATTTGGAAGTACATTTTTAGCGACAATAAATTTAGGTGAGATAATTGCTATGACTTTGTATTTCCATTATTAATGCGTTTCAATATCAATCAATATCATGACAATATGTATGCATTCTTCTTGATTTATGTTCGTAAGATAATTATTATTCTCTCGAGTAGAATTCAATTTATTTTCTCTTGTGACATTCATCTATGGAAATCATGGATAACATAGGGTATATCTTTATCATCTATCGAAGTTTGCAATAATTGTTATAATTACTATCTATTCTATTGTCTCTCTCGAAAACAATAAAATCCCACAACATTCCAAGTAGTAGCTAATTAATTGAAAAGCATTAAATCGATTATCATGCAAGAGTAATTACATATTAGGCATCAAATTATTGAACTTTCATTAAAATTTCATAACAAGACTTCATCATCTAGGTCTAAGTAATTGGAAATCTGGCCAAGCATTGCAGAATTACAAGATAACATGATTGATTGGTAGAAAATAAATCGAATTTTAGATTGATGAAGGAAAAGATGATGAATCTTGAATTTGTTCAATTGTTTCTTGATTGAATCCCATTATCTCTTCTTCCTCTTTTCCCAAAAATCAAAGTTGTATCTTCAATTGATAGGAATCTTGTGATTATTGTAATACCTTAGTTATTAAAAATAAAAAATAAAAATAAAATTGGAATGGTTAGGCGGTGGATTTCGATTGTTTTTTATATCAATCCAATCCATTTGCCGGCCAGCCCAATTCTACACAAAACATGCATACAAGGCACAGGAAAAATGAGGAAGAGAGAGGAAAGAAGGAAGGGAAAAATAAAAGGAAGAAGAACAGAAAAAATAGGAAAGCTCGCCAAGGTTGTTAGAAAATAAGTGTGTTCTACTATTAAGCTTATTAAATTCTTCAACTTAAAGGTAAGTAAAAAGTTACTTATTAAATAGTTATGTTTAATTTTAGAGTTGTTAGATTAGTAGTTTAAATTCAATTTTATTGAATGGGGGAGCTATTGAATTAAGTGGAGTAAGCCACGAAACTAAGTTAAAAGGAAGAAAAATAATTTAATTGATTAAATGAATTGGGAAAATTGCCTAACTATAAAAAGATTAGAATTTAGTATCGCCTATTTAATTATTGAAGTTTTTAAAGATGGTTAATTGTTAATTTAAAAATTATATCATATTTTAGGCAACAATACGAAGATCGAGAAACCTACCAACCGAGTTGATTTTTCATACATAGTTTTGTGAGTGGAAAAAACTTAAATATCTTCAAGTGTTGATAAATTAAGTATATATTATTACATTATGTGCAAATATGTGAATTAATTGTTCAATTATATAATTATTATGAAAGTTTCTTTCAATATGATATATCTGGACCTTCTAAGATTGGATATGGATTATTTGTGAATTGAATTGTGAGACATATGTTTTATTGACCACTACTAAGGCACCGAAGCATTCCATTGTGTTGGCTACAAGTGAAACTTATCAGGTGATTGCAATGGTAATCAGGGGATGTGCCTTTCATGATCGCGGGAGGAATGACCACTTGCTTGTGCTATTTTGATATGGTGATCATTGGTATCTTTGTGCAATAACAAAATATATTTCAAGTGGGAAGATAAAACACTTTTTGGTAAACTGTTTCCATGAATTTTGCTCGTAGCTTCTCCACGGACAGTGCCAATCTAATACCTCAATTTTTGAATAGATGACATGGCAAACACATCCCAGTTCCACTCGCGTTCACATAACTTTTCTCCTGTACATTTAGACAAACAGTTAAGAACACACTTCCTTCTTCGGAGGTGGGAAAGACACAACGTGCACAGAGACCATTAAGTCAGTCACTTGTAAAATATATTTGGGTGTGAGAATATTGAAGACGAGAGCAACAAAGGTGTTTGGATATCGATGGTTAGGATAGAATCGTTGGATTAAGTGACATTTTTCCTTTCTTAACAGTAAAACAAGAGAGAACAATATTACTTGAGTGTATAAAATTGCATTACATTCAAATGTCACTTAGTGTGGGCTTTGATATTAAAAGATGAATCATAATAATCGTTGGATTAAGTGACATGTTTCCTTTCTTAATAGTCAAGGTGCCTTTTCATAGATTTTATTTCGCCAACCCTAGGCTTAGGGACATTTAATATTTCTTAAGAGACACCCTATATTCTAGGCCTAACATGTAGGGAGTAGACTAATTAGTTGACCTAATAGAGCGGCTGCTACAGAGAGATCACATCAATCAACCAGAAAAGATCTTGTACAATAGATCTTATGGAAAATGTGCCTCATATGCCTAAAAGCTATTCACCTTGTATGGAAAATGTGCCTCATATGCCTAAAGGCATCGTATGGCCTCACGATTCGGTCATTGCATGGAAGTTCGACATAATGCATCATTTTGACTACGGGAATGGCCTCGGGTTGATCGAGTAAAACGATATGGAGCAATTAGAAGAGAAAATTCTAAATCAATTATAAAATAAAATAAATAAGAAGTATTTAAGAAAACGTGCACAACTTTCAGCTCGATCATCGAATTTTCATCCGTGAGTACAATCTAAAAGTGTTTTCGATTCTTCATATTTTTGTCTGATGGCATTATCTAAATTTCGGGTGTCGATTTCCATTGTTTAATATTCCGTTTTAGCATTTTTCTCTTTTAAGTCCATTTAAGATAATTTCATCATTTTGCAGTATTTTAATTTTATTCAAATTTTTTACAGTTTTTTTTTGTTTTATTTGAATTTATTTATAGAATTAGATTTTCAATGTGATTAGGATTTGTTTTGAGTATACAAATACATGTTAAGTTTGTAAAAATATTACATTCATTTTTCTTGATTAATAAGACATTTTAGTTTTTCTCATTAATTGGTGCATTCTAATATTTCTCACGTCCATTCGAGAACAATTCGAGCAAACACCCATTCGTATGTTATGAACTATACTCTTTTATTACTATCCACATTTGCATAATGTGTCATAGGAAAGTGACATGGAATATGAGCCGAGTTCGCTTATTATGTGAATACTACTTGGCCATGCTTGGAACCTCATTGAATGAGGCGTAAAAAATAATAGTATAAAAGAAAGAGTTGGGAAATGAAGAGGTTGGCATGGAACCTATATCCAACATGAAAGAATGTGTTCGAACATGTGGATTTTGGTTAGCAATTTCATAGTTGAGACTAGTTATTCAACAGATGGGGTGGCATGGAACCTATATCCAACATGAAAGAATGTGTTCGAACATGTGGATTTTGGTTAGCAATTTCATAGTTGAGACTAGTTATTCAACAGATGGTGTGGCATGGAACCTATATCCAACATGAAAGAATGTGTTCGAACATGTGGATTTTGGTTAGCAATTTCATAGTTGAGACTAGTTATTCAACAGATGGTGTGGCATGGAACCTATATCCAACATGAAAGAATGTGTTCGAACGTGGGGATTTTGGTTAGCAATTTCACACATGAAACTTGGTATTCAACATTGGAATTTGGTTAGATTAAAAGAGCTCTTTTGATTAATTAATGAAGTATTGAGAAGTTTTTCTCCTCTCCACAATTTTCCAATTCATAGTATTAAGTCAATGATCTTTAAACTGTTAATTATTATTTTGTATATTCTACTGTATTATACTAGTAAACAAGACTAGAAAAATAATTTTAAACATAAAATTATTTTTATATATTCAGCATTGCTAGCAGTCGCAGTGTGCTGATTCGATTCCTGAAATATTGAATTGGACTTTTTGTGGGAACTAGTGTATAGGTAATCTCTTGTTTCCTGATTTGTTAGGGCATATTTCGCGATTTACTTCCCTCACGATACTCCAGGAACGGGACGGTGGAGGTTCTCAAGGTTGGGGTTCAACCTTTTTAATAATATCCCTCTAGGAAAGGCACAACATTATTGGCTCAATATTCACACGTCGTTTTCTTTAATAAAACATTAATTTATATCTAGTTATTCTTTATTGTTATTGGGCCAACATAAGTGCGGACATGAATTGGGCAAGTGGAGAATTTCAGGTTACCATATTTTCATCACGCCAACCTTAATTAAATATGCCACATGTAGTTTGGTACTAAATCTAACACAGACTATGACACTCCTAAATCCATCACAACCAACCCGTTAAGGAATTTGTAGCACCAAAAAATTTGATAAAGAGAAAATTACCTTAAATTCTACTTTTAAAGTTTCAATTTAAAAAATCAGGTAATGCCACATGTAGTTTGGTACTAAATCTAACACAGACTATGACACTCCTAAATCCATCACAACCAACCCGTTAAGGAATTTGTAGCACCAAAAAATTTGATAAAGAGAAAATTACCTTAAATTCTACTTTTAAAGTTTCAATTTAAAAAATCAGGTATTAATAATTAATTTTTATCAAAAATAAGATATATCCACACCACCCAGTTTCCTGCTCCATTTATCCTCCAAGATTAGATTTGTATATATGTAACCATTGGTTTCTAGACAAAATATATACCATCAAAGTTTTTTTTATTCATTGTTGAGTATGTTCCAGAAATTCCGACATACTTAGTATTTATTTGATTCAAAAGTTAATATCATAATTGTGTTGTAATCAAGTAGGTCATCGGGGTTTCAGAGATTGAGAGGGACGATGAGGCACCACCTCGGAGGAAGAGAACGGACCAAGGTTCAAAGATCTGATCGAGAGAAATTCTTTACCGTGATGGCTCATTTCCATGATCAGAATGCCGATGGCCCACTGGCATCAATGCTTGAAAACCACAAAATGATAAATCATTAGAATAATACGAAAAACTATTGTATGGTTCGTATAATTGTAAATTTATTGTGGCGTAGTTATTAAAAATATATTTTAATTAAGGTGTGATTATAATGTGGTCTAGTAATTAAAATTTGTAGTGGTAATATAATTAACATAAGTGTAAACCACAAAAACTTCCACGAACCCAAAAATGAGATACCGCATTCCATGCAGCTGAGGTCTGGAAAAACATAGCCCATGCGTTATCCACAAAACTGACCTGGCCATAACTTGCCCTAGAGTGATCCATTTTTTATGAACTGAATGGAGTTTTGTCCCAAATTCCATT